GACCAGACACAGCCTATACAGTACCCTCCCCCAGACACAGCCTATACAGTACCCTCCCCCAGACACAGCCTATACAGTACCCTCCCCCAGACACAGCCTATACAATACCCTACGCGAAATACATCAGAATACAAGACACACGCCAGGTGTATCAACAATACCAACGCGTTGACACTGCGATTTAGAGACGCAAGATCTATCGCCTGATGTTATCTATCGGGAAGTGGGGGGAGGATGAGGTGAGGGGGCGTGGGGGATCTGTTAGAGCTTTGTGGGGGTGGGGGAAGGGGGGGGATTATATGACAGTAAGGGGATAATAGGGGCTTGGAGAGGGGGGCGTAGAGGAGTGGATACATACGCTACGTTAGGTGAACAGGGAAAACAGGCTCCGAGGATAGAATATGATAAGAGGAGAATGAAGGAAAAGGAGGAAGACTAGGACATATCGAGCACAAAAAAAGTCGAAGAAAAACAATATTAATCTGAATTACATCAATTATTATTATCATTAACAAAAAAAAACACTAACATGATATATATAATTGAGTAAATCATCTGTAGCCCTGAGGCGACTCGAACCCGCGACCAGCGTACAAGCTGCCAACCTATACCCCTGTACCACCCTGACCTAGAATAAGTTATACCACCTAGGATTCTACTAAGTCGACAGGAAGTCACTTCCAAGTCCAAGACTGCACTGCCTGTCGATTCAAGAGATTCCCAGGTTGTATACTTTACAACAGGTCAGGTTGGTACAGTGGTAGAGGTTGTGGGTGGCAGTCTTGACATTGTCAATGTTAGGGTTATCTTGAGACGATTTCGGGGCTTTTAGTGTCCCGCGGCCCGGTCCTCGACCAGGCCTCCACCCCCAGGAAGCATCCCGTGACAGCTGACTAACACCCAGGTACCTATTTTACTGCTAGGTAACAGGGGCATAGGGTGAAAAACTCTGCCCATTGTTTCTCGCCGGCGCCTGGGATCGAACCCAGGACAACAGGATCACAAGCCCAGCGTGCTGTCCGCTCGGCCGACCGGCTCCCTGGTAAGGGGGGTATAGAAATATTGATATTGATTAGGTCCAAATATTGATGATTAGATCCTAATCCAAATGATAAGTTCTTAGGTGATTCGGACCAAAAGTTAATTTTCTGAATAATAATAATGATAAAAAATAGAAATACTGTTAATAATAATAACTGGAATTATAAATGAGATGAAGGAACAGGTTTACAGCCTAATGTGATAATAGTAGAAATAGACAATTTAACAGAGGTAGAAGAACAATTTTCAGTTGAAGCAGAAGTAGATGATATTTTTGTTGAAGCAAAAATTTAAACACACTGTACTCACCATCATTATAGTCTAGGGTAGCTAGTTCTTGACACACACTGTACTCCCCTTCATATAGTCTAGGGTAGCTAGTTCTTGACACACACTGTACTCCCCTTCATATAGTCTAGGGTAGCTAGTTCTTGACACACACTGTACTCCCCTTCATATAGTCTAGGGTAGCTAGTTCTTGACACACACTGTACTCCCCTTCATATAGTCTAGGGTAGCTAGTTCTTCACACACACACTACTCCCCTTCACATAGTCTAGGGTAGCTAGTTCTTGACACACACTGTACTCCCCTTCATATAGTCTAGGGTAGCTAGTTCTTGACACACACTGTACTCCCCTTCATATAGTCTAGGGTAGCTAGTTCTTGACACGGACTGTACTCCCCTTCATATAGTCTAGGGTAGCTAGTTCTTGACACGCACTGTACTCCCCTTCATATAGTCTAGGATAGCTGCACAAATGCACATGTAACTAATTGTGTTAATACAAAAAGTTACATAAATTACCGAGAGAGGGGAGGAAAAGGAGGAAGAGGGGAGAAGAGGGGAGGGAAATGTTTGGACAGAGAGAAGGTGAGAAGGAGGATAGGGAGGAAAGAGAAGTGAATAGGGTGGGATGTTGAGGAGAGTGGGGAGATGGAGAGAGAGGGGGAAAGGGGGGATGTTGGGGGGGGGGGAAACGTTGAGGGGGGAAGAGAGAAAGAGGAATGGGCAAGGAAAGACAAGGAGGGAGAGGGAGAGGGAGAGGGAGAGAGAGAGAGAGAGAGAGAGGAGAGAGAGAGGAGAGAGAGAGAGAGAGAGAGAGACGAATAAAGACGGGAGGGGGGGGGGGGGAAGAAGGAATAGGGGGTAGAGAAAGAACCGGGCGCCGCTGAGTACTGCCTCTTATCAGATACATAACTACTAAATAATCAGAATATAATCAGTTACAATTCCGCATATAATTAACATATAACAATATAACCCGTTAATA